CATTCTTTGTCTCATAAGTGGCCTCTCCTTCTTCTCAGGACCAATGCCAACCCTGTTAATGTCATCTGTAGGCGAAGGGGCCTGTGTCTACAACTTCACGGCTTAGACTTGCTCTGAAACATCAGCCAGACTAAACTTCCTTAGGTTTTTAAAACCCATCAGGATTTCTGTTGGGTTTAGCACAAGCTTTCCTGAACCTAGAACATTTTTCTCTTCCCTTTCCTATTTTTTAGCCTGACTTACTCCTATTGATCTCAAATTTTAAATGTTATGACCTCTCACCTTCAGCTCCACTCCATCATTGGCTGGAGTCAGCATACCTCCTATGCACATATGGCCTAATCTCGGTAAAGCCCCACCCACTTCTCAACTTTATTATGAGAATTAAAAACTTGCTTCTAGATACAAAGATCCTGAGGGCCATTAAGTACTGTTTCATTTACCACTGTTTGACCAACACCTATATCGAATGCCTAGCCTAATAATTCAATAGTGGGCATAGTTTTTCAACAGACATGAGAGAATTTACAAATTCAAATAAATTTTGACCTTCAAAGTGGTTACTTTAGCCAACTATCAGCTTAAGCTATTACTCAAAAACAAGTAAAACTGTCTCCACGTGAAACATTAACACAAACCAGTTATAGTGTTCCTAGATATGCCAAGAAATCTGGGTTCTAGGCTGGACTTTGGCATGAATTCATTTTCCACTGGGCAAGTTGTTTAAGACTACTTATCCCTCTACTTCAAAGTCCTGTAGCTTCTTGCCACTGTTTTACTTTAGTGAATTCAGTAGCCAAACTTAGGTGTGGGCTATGAACAGAGACTGAGATGCCTCACTTGTATGATAAGATACTTCATGGACAATAGAGTTCTCCATCTGTAAATTAATCAGGTATCTTATTTCTTTTTCCATCTTTTTTTAATAGTTTTTTTTTTATTTTTTTATAAACATATAATGTATTGTTAGCCCCAGAAGTACAGGTCTGTGAATCGCCAGGTTTACACACTTCACAGCACTCACCATAGCACATACCCTCCCCAAAGTCCATCATTTGAATTTGAGTCCTTGACTGTCTTATGAAACTGATGAAAAAAGTTGATAAATCTGTATCAGTTCTTTACCACCTAATTGGTTTGGTAAGAAGTTTGGTATTGAAGAGAAGATACACACAAATGAAATTGAAGCTTTTAGATTACTGTGGGTTTCATAAAAATTAGGTTTCATTATTCCCGTTTAAAACAAGTCACTATTTATGTCCTATCTTGAGAAACTTGATGAATTTGCCATGGAATACTGTATCTTAGAATTCTCTAATTATTTGAGAGAATCATGTCACGTAAGTGTGTTTCCGTGGGTTTTTTTAAAATGTTCAATAAGTGATTACAGTCATCTTTTAAAACATGTTAGACAATTAAGAATTAAAAGTATAAAATCTGTTAAAAAGAAGGAGAATAACAGATGACAGGGACCTGGGATGAGTTAATTTATGAAGTTTAGCAATTAAATAGTGCAAGTTTCCTGGCAGCTAAGATATGATGGGAAATTCGCTGGCTAACTCAGTTCTGAGTCTAATAAAAGAACATGCACTGACTTGTGCTTTGTCTGACACTAGACAGACTCTTTTTCTACTCACATCAAGTCATAGACAAAATCTAACACAAATATTACCCAACTCTTAATAGTTTTGTATCTTCTCAGTTACTGGTGAACAGGAAGTTTGGGTCATCAGACTTGTTATATCCTTATATTCTCTAATACACTGCCAAAGAAATCAGTGCAACTTTATTTGCTTCTTAGTCAAGAATTTAAAATCATAATATCCAATTATTAATAGTTATCAGTGGGCAAATCATCCATTAATAGGATGAACTAAAGAACATTTTTATTTTTATTTCATGTATTTATTTATTGAGAGAGAGAGAGCTAGAGCTCAAGGGGAAGGAGAAGGGCAGAGAGAGGGTGAGAGAGAGAATCTTAAGCAGGTTCCATGCTCAGTGTAAGCCCAATGTGGGGTTTGTGAGAAGGGCAGAGAGAGGGGGAGAGAGAGAATCTTAAGCAGGTTCCATGCTCAGTGTGAGCCCAATGTGGGGTTTGATCTCACAACTCTGAGATAATGACCTGAGCTGCTTAATTGACTGAGCCACCCAGGAAACCCATAAAGAACATTTTTTTTTAAAGTGCCTTGCAGTTAATATGAGCTTTTTGACCTTTCTCATCTATTAAATCATTATAATAGGTATAGGAGTACCTATTATATTTTCTATTTAAAACATTTAATAATAAAAAATAAATTTCTAATTTCTAATGCGATGAAAAATGCAAACATTGAAGGATCTTTTTTTCATGATATTTGTATGAATAAAGAGAAACTTGGGAAATTTTCCAGTTCTCAGTGTTTGGATTATAGGGCCGTGACAAAAAGTGCTTATTAGAAGCACCTACTGACATCCTAGTGCCATTTTATATTTGTGGAATCAAGTATGTGTCTAAAGAAGGAGTTTATGGGGCACCTGCGTGGCTCAGTTGTTACGCGTCTGCCTTTGGCTCAGGTCATGATCCCAGGGTCCTGGGATCAAGCTCTGCATCTGACTCTGCGCAGCGGGAAGCCTGCTTCTCCCTCTCCCACTCCCCCTGCTTGTGTTCCCTCTCTCACTGTGTCTCTCTGTGTTAAATAAATAAAATCTTAAAAAAAAAAAAAAAAAGGAGTTTATAACCATGAGGAAGTGTTATGGACAGAAAGTGAAATATCTCAGGAAGGTTTTAGGGCTCTATTTTACCCTTCCTTGAAAGAGTTACTGCTTATCAGAAACCTCCTGTAAATGGAATGAATGAGGCCCCAGAGGGATAGTGGTAAGTGGGAAAGAGTGGGATTATAGAGTCAGGTTAGGCCAGATGTAGTCCTGGAAAGCCAGGAGTTTGGAAAACCTGTGGAAACTCTGGGGTCATTGTGGGGTTTTCAGTAAGCAATACTGTGATGAGTTAGCAAAGGTTGTTAAAAGGCATAAACTAGCTGAGGTGCACAGAATGAACTGGAGAAAAGAGAGTCTGCAGGTCTGAAGTAGTTAGAGTTGGGAGGGAAAGTGGTGGCTACAAAAACAGTCAAGGTGGGGAAGGATATTGGTGTACACAAAGATGTTGACTGAGGAAAGAACGATCTATGATATTAGAGAACGTTACACAACATGATTTTAGGTTTAGGGAGTGAAATGTAGAACCAATTCGAACATGACTGACATGATAAGCATGGACTGAGTTCTGAGAATAGCAAAAGAAATAAGGATGACAGAAAGTGAGTCTTTTCTAATATGCTGAGTTTGGCATCTCGATACAACATCAACATTATTCGGTAGGGAGCTGGAGATGCAAACCTGAAACTTTAGAAATTAGAACACCAGTGATATCTGGGAACCCTCCACATAAATTGCAAAAGTTGCATCCCCAAAAATGGATGGATTCTCTATGAGGAAGTCCACAGAGAAGGCCATGGATCTCAAGATAGAACATAATGGAAAGTCAAAAATTTTAAAATGAAAGAGGGTTAATCAGATAGCAGAAAAGGGCAGAATTCATGGGAGAAGAATGTGAATATAGTTTCAATCTGGTACAGAGAAAAGACTTTCAAAAAAAAATAGCTTAGGGTAGGGGACGTGGGCAACAGTGTTGGATACCACAGAGAGGCAGAAAATGAGGGCTGAGAAGTCCCAATGCATTCAGCTTCCAAATCCGTTCACAGAGGCAGCAATTTTAGTGATTTCCTACTTGTCTCATCTCTTGACAATAAACCTCCTCTTGGCAAATGTGATTCTGTTTTGCATAGTGGAAAATGCACATTTCCCAAGGCACTGAGCTTCTCTACCTCCCCTCCAATAGCCTTTCTAGAACACCAGATGTGTCCAATTGGGTACTTCATGTGTTCCAACATTCTTCTCGAGAGCACTGCAAGGAACAATTCACTCTACTTGACCAGAAAATATAACTCTTCACTACCATTTGTATTTCCTGTAAGAAAGAACATGGGTGCCTGAGCTATTTCTGGAACTCACAGACTGTGGTACTATTATGGGACTTCTCACATTTATTGACCACCAACTGTGTGCATACATTGGCTAGCATTTCCATAATTATTCCCTTATTTAATACTAACAATAATACTGCAAGTTGAACATTATTAAGAATTATTGTTCCCCCTTTATTGAGTGGTATCCCAAGATTGTTTTATTCCTCTTGTAGTAGAAGGCAGAATCTCTATGCCTTTTAAAACTGAGAAAACCAAGCCCACACTTGGTTGAAGGGATCAAAGAATCAAAACTAGAAAAGCATTTCAACTAGAGAATATATGTATCAGACCATATAGCACCTATTCTTCTGGTTTGTTATGAGTAATTATTTGAAATGGCAAATTACAGGGAATTTCATCTAGTAGAGATAAAAATCAAACTCCTTATATAAATGAAAAATACCGTAATTTCTGAGAGTAAGGAATTTTTTACAAAGTCAGTTTATTTGGCCCAAGTACAGTTTAAATTATTAATTTGAAATTTGACATGGTGGCTTAGTTATCACCTCTTGCATTTGGTTTAGCAGAAGTTGACAGTTTCTTCTTTTTTATTTTTAGCCTTTTAGCTTATCTGAGAAATGAATTATCATTTATACTTAAGCCCAACCTACAAAGTAAAAATAATCTACAAGTTTGAGAAGGTGTATTTCACCCTGAAAGTAAACAGGGTATGAAATTTTTCATGGCTGATAATTTTTATAATTGGAATACTATAGGCTTCCAGTATAATTAATAAAGAGCTGGATTATTCATATCTTCTGAAAATCCAGCTTATGTTGCCCTCTTAATGATAAACTGAAGAAGCTGTCATTAGCAATATTTCACAGCTGAGTTGTGACTGAAATTTTTTTCTTTCTTTCTTTTCCAGCTCAGAGTTTTCCCCCTTTATGACTTCAGTGTGTAATAATACATAGTTTGAAGTAGAAATGTAGTAGGTGATACACTTTGTCACCTGCAAGCTCTGAGTGGAACAACAAATAGAAGAGTGAATTGAAGGTTGGTTGAATAATGAATCAAGTGTTAACAGGTGGGAACTGGGGAAAAGGGAGAGTAAGAAGAAAGGTTCAACCAGCAGCCTGCCTTCAGATCATAGTGACTGCAGATGTATGGACCATTAGCCTAGTGGTTGTAGACGGTTTCAAAATTCAGGAACCAGTGGGCCATCTCAGATCAAGCAAAGTGTGCTACTCTGGCAGGTAGTAGAGGCAAGGGAAGCTAGTGAGAAGAGAGCTAGAGAACCCAGTCTGAACCTCAAGAAGTAAAGGTGTAAGCCAAAGAGAATGCTGGAGTTTGCCAGATAAAAACATGGCCAGCAAAGCCTGGAATGGAGGTCAGCTACATAGACAAATTGAAGGTGAGATCTGATGAATAAGGGAAGCCATGCACAGTAGCTGAAAGTAGTTGAAATGCTCCTCCCTAGGGTCTCAGATCCTAATAGGATGAAAGGAAACTTACAGGATGTCAGAGCTACCTTACATCCCATGAATGGTTTAAGCCTTTTATGGATAATCAAACTGAATTAACTTTAAACACAAATTCAACATATACCAAACAGCCATTCTTGGCAGACACTATGTGAATCACCAGAAATACAAAAATGAGACATGTCTCCTGTATAGTCAAACCCACCGTGAAAGAGAAGGGCTTGAAAAATAATAAAAATAAAGCGGTAATATAAAATAGATAAAAATGAACACAGTATGTGGAATCATCATTAAAATACTCCGAAAAAGTAAGGGAGGCTGTGTAGAGAAGGAGCATGTGGGCTGGGTAGGAAATAGACCTTGCCAGCCATTAAGGCACGAAGTATGACAATGCTGAAGTATTCCGGACCTGGTGAAAACATGTGCCTAGCATGTAAGATCGATGGGAGTTAGAAGAAGGAGGGTAAGAAGGGTAAGAGGAAAAGGGGTGAGCAAGCTGGGGCCAGATAGAGGCAAGAATCTGTGGGTCAGTCTTCTCTGCAGGACAGAGCTTCTCAAAAGGTTGTCAGTCCCAGGATCAGTTTCATTAGCATCACTTAGGAACAGATAGAAATGCAAATTCTCAGGGTTCTACAGCCTCAGAAACTCTGGGAGTGGGGGCACGAGTCGTGGAGGGACACCGCTCTGTTTCAATGAGCCTTCTAGGTGATTCTGATAGGCAATGAAGTTTTAGAACCACTGTCACAGGGAGAAATGAATATATAGAGAAATGAATGTAGAGAAATGAATATATAGAGAAAAATGAATATATAGAATATATAGAAATGAATATATATGAGTATATAGAGTTAAGCAAGGGAGGGACAAGGTCTTATTTTCTTCTCAGGATGAAAACTAGTCCAAGTATGGAGGATGGAGTAGATTAATGGCCAAAGACCATAGCTGTCGCAGAATACAAGAAAGGGAAGCTGAAAGCTACATGTCTTTAATGAGAAAATGGCGTCAGAATTTGATGTGGTGGTTAAGAAGAGACTTCATGGTCTGGCAGCAATTTGGAGTCACTAATTAGGGGAGGACCTAATTACCCCAATGTTGGAGGAGTACTACTGTCTATTTCTAAAGTTTCTCATACCTTTCATTCTAACATTTTTCTGTTTTTCTCTTATTTCTTATGTAATTAGACACAACTGGCAGCATTACTTTCATAATAGGTGCACAGAAGGCAGAAGGAGAGCATCGCAATACTGTCAAAGTTGGGTTCCTCTACATCTTTCTGTTTTTATAATAAACCCCGGAAATCTTTCTGTTATGGACCAAATCATGTCCCCCTGCCCCCAAATTCATGTTTTGAAGCTCTAATCCCTGATGTGACTACATTTGGAGATGGGGCCTACAAGGTAGTAGTAAAGGTTGAATGAAGTCATAAAGAAAGTTGGGCCTTTAATCTGATAGGACTGGTGTCTGTATAAGAAGTGGAAAACACACCGGAGATCCTTCTTTCCTCTTTTTCCCCTTTCTCTTGCTCTCTCCCCTCCCTCTCTGCATGTGCCCAGTGAAGAGGCCACATGAGAGCACAGCAAAATGATGTCCCTACAAGCCAGGATGAGAGATTTCACCCATAACCAACTCTGATGGCCCCTTAATCTTGGACTTCCAGTCTCCAGAACTGTGAGAATATAAATTTCTTTTGTCTAAGCTATCCAGTCTGTGGTATTTTGTTTTGGCAGCCTGAGCTGACTAGGACACTGTCGTAGTAGAAAGAGCCTGGCCTCTGGAACCAAACTGAAGTGGACTTATATCTCAGCTCTACCATTTATTAGATCTCTTTCGTACCTCATTTCTTCTTTTAAAATATAGACAAAGAAGATAATATTGCTTCCTCTAGTCATGTATTTATTCAGCAATTATTTATGGAGTTCTTTGTACCCATTAGATACTCAACAAAAAATTGCTATGCTCTGAGGCTGCAATAGAGATTAAAAAACAGACATGGTCCTTTACTTCCTGGAGCTTATGATATAGAGAGGGACAGTTAATAATGAATGCATCTCAGAAATTCACGTTAATTTTTAATTATAATTCTGGTAATTATAATTATGATTAGTGCTACCTACTAAAAGACACGCCTCACCAGAGGCCATGCCCCTTCCTAGGACAGCCTTCTACCAATGATTGGTCAATGCAGGAGTATGAAGCCCATCCCCCTTGCTCCAATTCAGGACAGTTCAGAAGGGTCAACCACCTTCAGAGCTTGGCTAAGTTCTTATTAGGACTACACCACCGTTTATCTCCTCCTTCCCTGTTTCCTTCTCCTCTCTTCCAAAAGTCTTGACCACCAGAGCACTCCCTAGCAAAGTTTCTGTGTGTTAATCTCTGCCTCAGACTCTGCTTCCCAGGGACCCATGGTATAATAATATAAATAGTATGAAATAAGTATAAACATGCACTGCAACCAAGGATGGGAAGTCAAGAATCATTCTTTAGTTGAATCTGGAGAGGGGAATATGGGCTCTCACAGTCCTCCCTCATCTGCCTGCTCACAAACAAAGAGCCAGCAGGCACAAAGCCAGAGTGGATGGGGCAAGTGACACTGCTCATTGTCCTGACACACACCAACCACAGACGGTGTCTTGAGCCTGAAGTAAGTTCAGTGCTCAAATGTGATGAGATGTGGTCTGAAATCAGGAGAGAGGATATATCATTTGTATCTTCACTTTTAAGAGTTAGCTGAAAAATGAAAAGACGATAACATTGTCACAGAAATAGGCAGGGAAATGGAGAAGACAAAGAGCTTAGAGATAGATTCAAGATCAGAAAAAAAAACTGAAAAGGAAAAGGTAGGTTATTCAGTAAATACTTTTGGGAAAACAGTGTTAGAAGAATTGGTTAGTTCTCTGGAGAAAAGGATGGATACTCATTTTCCACCATAAGAAAATAAAATAAAGAGGAAGAAAAGAAAATAGTTGTAAAATAGCAATTTATTTATTTATTTATTTTATTTTATTTATTTATTTGAGAGAGAGTGAGCAAGAGAGAGAGAGAGAGATAAAGAGAAAGCACAAGCAGGGGGAGCGGTAGAGAGAGAGGGAGAAGCAGGTTCCCCACTATCCAACAAGCCTGACATGATGTGGTACTTGATCCCAGGACCCTGGGATCATGACCTGAGCTGAAGGCAGCCACTTAACTGACTGAGTCACCCAGACATCCTGGCAATCTGTTTATTTTTAAAAAAACACAGGAAACAAGAAATATAGAAAATAGGATGGGTTATCTCTAAGAATTAAATAATGGAATAGACAACCAAAAAAAAAAACAAAACTCCATACATACATGAGTCTGTCAAATTATTATTCATAAAAGTAAAAGGAAAACAACTATAATAAATAAATGCCAAAAATGATAGAAATAGGCTTTGTATAAAAAAGCAATAGATAAATTATTAAGAAATAATAATGGTTTAATTTAAAATGGGAAAGAATATGGATAGACAATTCATAAAAGGACAATGCCTATTAAATAAGCAAAATATTTATCACTACTAATCAAAATGAGTAAGTTGGAACAAAATGCCTGTCTGTACTAATTTAGCAAATATATTTAAAGTGACTATTTATTGTGGCCAATTCATCCACAGTAATTAGCACCATAATTCCACTTCTAGGAATTATCTTTCAGAAATAAACAGAGCTAGAGATGAAAGCTTTTTTTTTTTTAATATTCTCTTCAGTGTTAATTTTAAAAGAAAAATTAGAAACAGCCTTAATCTTCAACAACAGATAAACAGTAAAATAAAGTGTGGTATCTAGACACAAATCACAACAGGATAAGAACAAATAGTGAACTGGAGCAATTCTGGAGATAGTAGGGTTTTTTTCATTTGTGTGCCTGGATTTTTTTGTATTCTCAATGACCCGTTGCATTGTTAGGGAGAATTTGATTAACTCTCAACTAGGAGAGGGGATAAACCTCTACGAAGCACCAGAGAAGTTAAGAATGTAAACTCTGGATCAGATTTCCGTATGTTCCCATCCAATTCTCTTGCTTGTATGCTTGTATTCTATGGGCGACTGGGGGAACCATTGCAGAGCTTTGAATTAATCTGGACAATGTCTTTGAGTCACAAGGAGTAGGAACCAACTTGAATTAGTTTAAAGAAAAAGTCAGAAACAATGAGCAAGTGCTCATTTAACCTAGATTATGTGCAAATAGATTATCTTTGAATATCATCCCAGAGAGCTGGAAGGGGAGACAGGGAAAAGTGAAGCAGGGAAGGAGGGAAAGATAATACACTCATGTTTTAATGAGTGTCCCATTTTGTGGGACAAAATGGTGAGTAGTACTGGATACCATGAAACTGTTGGAGGGGTCTTATAAAATGTGCTTTAGAACTATCTTCCCAGGGAATAAAAGGTAGGACTCTTTTATCTATTGGATTCCATTCACTGTTGACTAAGATAACCCTGCAGGCAGTAGCTTCCCCTGCACTTCTGTATGTGGTAACTGTGTAACTGCTCAGGGGATCCCATGGATGTTCCAGGCAATGGTCTCACAGAGGTACAAAGTACTAAGAGTTTGCACCTATACGAAGGTGTCTGAAGCCTACAAAGAACTAGTGGCCACATGTGAGAATTGGGACGTAGAAGATTTGGAGTCATGTACAACAGAGGTCCTCTATATGAGTCTTTGGTGGCTCAAAGAGCCAAGCCCCAGAAAGGCAGAAATAGATATAACTCTCAGAGCAGCTACGACCAGAGGTTCAAACTCTATATGGATTTTCTCAGTCTTGAATCTCTGTACCTTTTTGGTTAGGCATCATCTTTACTCTTCCTTAAAGATAAGTTTCTCTACACAGCACAGCACTTGTGTCTTACTGGCTTCTACATTTTCCAATTCTAGCGTCAGGAGACACATACTGATGATATATTTAGACCCACAGCTGATATTTTCTAGACAAAATCATCACTGGTCTACTTTAGGTCTTGTAACCGTTCTTGGACAAATGAGTATGGCTAAAGAGAGATGTCCTTTAAGAACATGACAACATTGGTAGAAACCATGTAACAAAATAGGGGAGGAGCAGAGTCCAAAAGAACAAGACGTCAAGCAGACAGTGCCATAAGTAAGTATATCATGTTCTAAGTGAGGGGATGCCTTGACCAGAAAACATAAGAATGTAAAACCTGAAAGCTATCTATAGCCGAAGATCAGGAATGGCAACCTGAATTAAGGTAGGGGTTAGTGACAGGAGGAGGATGAAAGTGATGCTAAAGAAAAGTAATCCGTGGACCATGTGACCCATATTAGTTTTACATGGTGCCCCTATATTCTCCATTAATAGGAACTTATGCAATCAACATTTACCCTGCCAGATGCTAAGTTGTCTAAGAGGTGCTATAATGGTGCCTAAGACAGTCTCTCCCCTCAAACAGCAGTGTCAAGTGGCTTAGCAACAGCAATACCTCTTTCCTTTAGGAAACTCTTCATCCATACCTTGGGATCCCTGGCTCCATGATGTAGAATTTTTTTTTTTTTTTAAGATTCTATTTATTTATCTGAGAGAGAGAGAGCAAGAAAGCACAAGCAAGGGAGAGGCAGAAGGAAAGGGAGATGCAGACTCCCTGCTGAGGTAGGAGGCGGACGTGGGACTCCATCCCAGGACCCCAGGATCATGACCTGAGCTGAAGGCAGAGGCTTAACCATCTGAGCCACCCAGGCGCCCCTGTGACATGGAATTTAGTTAATGGAATAGATCTCTGTAAGCACTCTTCTTTACTGAGAATCAGGTCCTGAGTGTTTAGGAGCTTTTCGTTTGGACTTATTGCTTAATGTCCTATTGATAAATATACCAGAATCAATGACATAGGGTGGTTTTGCCTGAGCGTAGCACTAGTGAGAAAGCATCAGAACTTGATAGCAGTTCTCAACACTTGATTTTTATCTCCTTGGGTGTCTACGTGGCTCCAGCTGATAGTGGCCGATCCAGCTATTTCAACCATATTTGTTGTTCATGATGGTTACCCTATGCCTATTCTATACAGCAAAATGCTGTTAACTATAATCATTGTCTTTCTCTTGTTGAATAATAACTTTTAAAGAGTTATTTCAAATATATCTTCTGGAAATCAAATTAATTTCTCTCTCTGGGCTCCCACATCATCTTTTATCATGTTGGACTGTGATTATTTGTTCATGTGTTTGTCTTATGCCCCCTGTACTGTGAGTTTGTTAAGGGAAAGTCTGTCATCTTTATTTATTCCAAGACTCAGCACAGTGCATGGTACTATGTGCTTGGGGGAGGGGTGGATAATGAATTCAGGAAGTTTGTCGTCTGACAGATTAATAGTGCAGAAACATCTGGAATGAGTTGTTAGAGTTTTCACTAACTTTATTTCATCTAAATAAGCAAAAGATCCTTGAGATGTTTTCAGGACAGCTGGCCATCTAATCAGAATGTCACTGCTCTTTCAGACTCACTGTACAATGAAAAGCCCTTCTGTTTTTGTCAAGTTTGCCAGCTCCTGTGAAAAGTTCTACAAAGGATCATAATAACTGCACAAGACCAAGGTGAGAGAAATCCAATATAAGTCATGTCATAGTCTTCTTATTATCTTTATTACCCCCCCTTTTTTTAGTATGTTTTAGGAATAAAAGTCTGTGACCCCAGAAAAAAATTGTGGTCTGTCTTAAAGGAGGCCACCCAGAAAACAATTCACAGTAAAAACAAAACATAAAATATAAAAAGCCTTCCACAGAGGTGAGAGGTGATTTTTTTTCACACCTTTTTTCTCACCTGATAAGTGATAGGGCACACTGTTAAATCTCCTTTGTTCATTTGAAGGATGTTCACATAATACTGATTTAAACATATTGTTACCCAGATTTCAGTCTTGAAAGCAGAGTAGCTCTGAAGTATTATAGTGGAAAAAAAAAAAAACCCCACCCTGAATATAGTGCAATACTTCAAAAAGACAGTTTTCTAAAAGTAAAAAATAATCATCGCAATAACAATAGCTTGAATTTAGCAATGGCCTACCATGTGCTAGAAACCACTATCACTGTTTGTCACAGGTCTTCTTTAATGCTCCAATCAATTATATAGGGGTGGTGTGATTGAGGACACTGAGACTCAGGGGGAGAAACAAATTAGAAGTAGAGAGCAGATATGTGGATATTTACAACATGAATGAGTCTCATGGCTATGAGTCTCATGAGCTGAGCAAAAGAAGCCAGATATGATAGACTATACTATACAGTTATGTTTACATAAGTTTGAGACCAGGCAAAACTAATAAATTCTCATAGAAGTCAGAAGAATCATTGTTTTTATGGGGGCTGCTGCATGAGGAAGAGGTATCAAGGAAAGTTCTGGATGACTAGAAATGCTCTAGGCCTCATTAGAGGTGTAGTTCAAAAATATATACATACATAAGTACTCATTCAGCGGCACAAAGATTTGTGCCCTTTTCTGTGTATAAGTTATATCTCAATAAAACAGTTAAAAAGTAAAAGAAGTCCAGAGGAATTAGAATTGAGCTCTGTTTAGTTCCACAGCCTCTGTCTTTCCACTACACACTCTTTTGGAAATCAGTTTCAGGTGTCTATGTTCAACACAGAACCATACCTGTTTTTCTGGGATAATGCACAGAAAAGTCCCCACAGATACTTTCTGAACTATTGCAGTAGTCTAATACAGTGGATAACGTAGAGGACAAGCAGGTTGTTGATGAAAGGATGATGTAATAAGCTGGAATTTGTCTATCAGGGGCTTTGTGAACCTTGTCCAAGGGAAGGGTTTGGATTTTATTTATATGAAGAACCACTGAGGGACTCTATGTAAGAAATTTTATGATCCTATTTGCTGTTGTGGGTGAAATGAGTTAGAAAGAATGGGTGGGAGGATAAACAACCTAGGAACAGAGAGCAAGTTAGAGGACTATTGTAAACATCTCTGCAAAAGCAGGTAGATCTTGGACTGAGTTGCAACAGTGCAGTTGGCAGATGGACTAAAAAGATTCATTAAAGAGCCAGCTGGATGTTGTGATCATTTGGGTGTGGGCAGTGGGGGACAGACAGGAGCTGACTGAAGTGGCTAGGAGGACTGAGCCACTGCGAGGCAGAATCTACTCAACTACCAGAAAGACAAGAAGAAAGTATATTGCTCTGGGCGGAGGCCAAAGCTAGGCAAGTTATCAGGGCTCTAGCCAAGTGATTTGGGATTCAGGAAGGGTTCTGGTCCTTGTAAGGAACTAGACTGTTATAATGGGCTGAACTGCATCCCCCAAAATTCTTTTGCTGAAGTCCCGAGCCCAGCACCTGAGAAGGTGAGTGTATTTGGAGATAGGGTCTTTAAAGAGATAATTAAGTTAAAATGAGGTCATCAGGCAGGCCCTAATCCAATATGACTGGTTTCCTTATTTTAAAAAGAAAGGGAATTTGGACACAGATACCCACATCCTGAAGACTATGTCTGTGAACAGACAGGGAGAAAATGGCCATCTGTAAGCCAGGAAGAGAGGTCTCAGAATAAACCAAACCAACAGATATCTTGATCTTGGACCTTTAGCCCCCAGTTGTCAAAAAGATAGGTTTCTGTTGTTTAAGCCACCCATTCTGTGGTTCTTTGTAATGGCAGCCCTAATAAACTAATTTAAGTGTCAACCTGGACCTAAGCCCATTCAAATGTGAGAAGGGGAAGGCCCTGGGGGACCAGGGGGCTGAATCATACAGCTCAGAAAGCAGACCCAATGGATAGGGCCCAATGGATAGGGATCTTCTAGCCAAGAGCTAGTTCCAAATTTCACGTACTGGTAGGGATGGAGCTTCTAGTATTCTTCCTAATGTAATTCTCACTGGTTCAAAGACAGGGGCAGAACAGAGCTATTGGTGAAAAGTCTTCAATTCTGACGTTGGGCAGAGTTGGAAGCAAGCAGGGGCTGACTTTCTCAAACATTAGAAATAATTAACTGATTATCAACATAGAGCAAAAAAGTATGCTAGATCTAGTCAGAATTGATGCAATAAACAAGTAAGGTATTTATGTATACTTGCAAATTCCTTAGACATCCAACTAAGAGATATGTATATATGTGTGTACAGTGATGTCTAGTCTACATACTAAGCAGTTCATTTCTCTTTGCTTTTGCATGCTTTGCCACACATCAGTAGCTGTCCTTCCTCCCTTGGCTCACTGCAATTTCCTCCTAGCTGGTTCCCCTGTCTCAGTGTTGCTCCCCAGTAACGACAATCAATGGCAGATCACTTGAAGCATGAATAGGTACGTCGCCATGATTTTCTCATTTGTCTGTGTACATTTGCCAAGGAACAGAATCACCTAGAGATCCTTCTTGACTCCTTGATCTAGTCTCCTAAGTAAGTTACGAAGAATGGATTCTTCCTTTCCAGGAACATTCACAACGGTTCTTTCTTTTATATTGCCACATATACCCATTCAGGCTCTTTTCAGATCCTGCCTGAACTGCAATAGTCCCTTACCCTTCTGCTTAGCCCCTGCCTCCCTCCTTGCCACCTATATTTAGCCTACAAAAAATCTTGAGAAGACATCACTTTGACCACAAGGCCATTTTTTTACTTGTTAACCTTCAACAGCCCCTGACTGCTTATAGCAACAAATTCAAACACTCCTCAGCCTAATGTTTAAGGCTTTGGGAATCTGACCTCTTCTAACATTTTCAGTCTCATTTATAACTATCCTAGCTTCCCAAATCCTCAGATGAATGGTTTCAGGCATTGCCCTCCACCATGCCTGCCACACATCCTTGCTTCCTACCTAGCTTTTGCACATATGTTTTTATTGCTTACCTTCTGTCCTTTCCATGCCTCATTTGTCCTTCAAGAATATCTCAAATCCTAGGTACTTTTTTTTTTTTTTTAAGATTTTATTTATGTATATGACAGAGATAGAGCATGTGCAGGAGGAGGAGGCAGAGGGAAAGGGAGAAGCAGACTCCCCACTGAGCAGGGAGCCCAACACGGGGCTTGATGGATCCCAGGACCCTGAGATTGTGACCTGAGCCCAAGGTAGATGCTTAACCGACTGAGCCACCCAGGTGCCCCCTCCCAGACCCTTTTGTTTACTTTTCTCCTAGTGTGACATGCATTCTTCTCTGCTGACACATGCTACCCATCTTTCATGGCCAGCTATAATTTCTACCTCTTCTTTGAAGTCCTTTCTAACCACCCACCCTGACATTCAGTCCTTTGTGAAGGGCTACTGTGGGGCCCTAGAGGTCATGCTTGGATAATACATATTTCTTCATTTCCGGGACATTGTGCTCTCTTCCTCTTTATGTTCCCACTACAGTTACTGCTCAAAGAATTGTCCATTCATAATGTGATATCTTAGGAAATTTCTTCTGTTTTAAATTACCAATTACATTTCTATGGTTTAACTTTTAATAATCGACTTATCTTTCCCGGGTACATTATAAAGACTTTGCCCCCAAATAATCTGATTTAATATAAGACAGGAGACGGGTACCCTGTTAGGTACCAGGTGCTGAGGTGCTAGTGCTTCTCATAGTGTGATATGACCAGTGTAAGGATCTATTTAGCCAGAGCGACTCCATCTTGGTTAAAAGCCATTTTGTTGTTTGTGCAGTAAAACTTAAACTGACCCTGCTCCCCTCCCCCCCAGAGAAACTTACTTAGAAGCAAGTCTGGGAAACCAGTAAAATGTGGTCAGCTAGTTCCTAATAACAGAGCCCAGAATACAAGGCCAGGTTGGCCAGTTCTGGATAACAGAGCCCAGAATACAAGGATGAGTCGGGCCAGGTAGAGACATCCAATCAGTAAGAAACACACATACTTTTCCCCTAACCACCAAAGAATGTAAACCCGGCTGTTTGGGCGCCAATCTTGAGCACCAATTCTGACCGGAGTAATAGGTTAAGTCAAACAGCTACTATAGGGTAAATTGTAATTCAATTGGCCACCTGCGTGTGACCTAACATGACTACAATCTCATTGGCCACCTATGTGTGGCCAGACTTTTGCTCTGTAAAAGGTAGTCTGTAAGATGCGGAGGAGTCGCTCTCTTCGGAGGTGGCCCTGACGGTCAGTCAGTCAATTCTTGAGCCTGTAAGCTGGGGGTGGTTGCTCTCTTCAGAGATGGCCCTGGCCAGTCAGTCTGACTTTTAATGCTTAGCATAGAATAGAGCTTTGCATAACTTTCACCTTGTCTCAGTCTCGTTCCCCTGATCAATCAGTCTGACTTCTAATACTTATCATAAAATAAAGCTTTAAATAACTTTCACTTTGTCTCAGTCTCGTTTCGTTTAATAACGGACCTAACATCCAGCAATCCATTTTATGGGACACGGAAATCCCATGATTTTACAGATATTATTGCATAGGATAAGGCTAAAGTGGTTAATACCCATGTGCGTTTTCCTTTAAGTGAGCTGACTTAGATTAAAAAAAAAATAGTAGTGGTTTAAGTGATAGAAATGGTTTTTCAATGACTGAAACATAATAATATATTAATATAATAAACATAATAAACATAAAAAAAATAAATGATATCACATTTACTCCTCACAATGATTTTACAAATTAGAAACAAAAGTCTAGAGAAACGTCAGAATTTGTGATGCTAATAGGTTGTAATGTAGGATTCAGGTAGAGGTACTTAGGTCGCTGACTGAAGCTCTGTGGTGCCTTTTACATCTAGGAAGATTTAGTTTGATTACCTCAGTTTGAGGGCCTGGATTATGTTTTTATACTGCACCTCATATCCTCAAAAAGATTTATTTTCTAAACGAAATCCTCCACCTCCAGAAAAAGAAAAGGGGCACCAGAATGAATCTGGTATGTTTCAAAACACATGTATAAAACACACAAGAAAACAGACCTGCTTTCCTGCCTCGCTGAGTGAAACATTAATTCTTCACCTTGGCATCTCAACCTACAGCTGTAATAAGGGCCGTTATGCCCAAATAGGCCCTTAAACGGAAGACCTGCTGAGCAGAGACCCACTTTCCCAGCCCTGCTCAACTGCGGCTGCTTTTTCTGCCAACTGACCAGGCTGAAGCAGCAGCAGGGGAGGAGGGACTGCAGGTAGGTGGGGAGGGGATCATTTTGAAAAGCTCTAAATCCCTCCCAGGGAAGAAGCAGCTGCTCCTTGTTTTTCTAACATCTGTCCCATCTGTCCCGGCTGCACCTCACTCTTCAGAGGCTCAAACTAGCTAAACGTGGGTATGACAAGAAGGCATTTCTGAAGGCTGGTTGGTGAGTGGAAATGAGCACCACTGCCGCCAGAAAGTTTTTAACAAGAGGGCAGTTGGGGCTCTTCAGGAGCATAGCTATCGCTTTCCTTCATTTTTCTCAAAAACAGCTTTAATTGACAGAGTCGGGATTTTTAACATCACCCAAATCAGGCTGTACGCCCTAAGGATATTTTCTAGCTCCCATTTTTAAATTTCCCCTCCAGGGGAACCACAGGCTACTGATGCGTGGGGCAAATAATGATACTGCACAAACTATACCACTTCTACAGTAGAACAAGCTGTCTATATCCCGCACGTGTGGAGTTCATCCCATTTAACAGCGTGTTGCTGGTATCTGACTCCCCTGCCAACACGATACTCCTCGAGAATAGGAACCTTATTTTTATTCAGTTATCTGTCCCTTGTATTCCGAACCCGTGGCTGGAACCCGACAGGCATAAAATAGACATTTATGAATGGATGAACGTTAACGAAGAAAAAAAAGGAACAGGATGATTCATTCCGTTCTCCGAAGGCGGACGTGGAGGGAGGTGCTTGGCGATGAACCTAGTCGCCACGGGAGGCGCACTCCCAAAGGCCCACAGCTTCTGCTCTGGTCTCTGCTTACCCCAGTCTTCAACCGGGTGCTCACGCTCCCTCCCAAGCCAGGCAGTCCCGCCTCCAAGGCACGCGAAGCCACGCCCCCCTTCCCGGTCATTCCCTCGGAGCTGTCTGTTTGTTCCACATCAATTACAGGCTTCGGGGCGGGGCCAGGAGGGCGCAGGCGCAATGGGCGGCGGAAGTAGTGACTAGGGAAATAAGAAGGAAGGAAAGCGGCCTGCCGGGTTCTGTGGAGGGCACGGCGCTCCTCCTCCACAGCCTCCTCCTATTCCTCCCGCGGGAGGCTCCCGGCGGCCGCACGTGCCGCCCAGCCCAGGCTCCTCCCCTCCTCTGCCCCCGCCCGGGAGCGGCCAGGCGCTGCTTTCTCTCCGCCCGCCGAGATGGCGCTCGACCCCGCAGGTACGGGGGCGGGACGCGGGGGTTGCTGAGGAGTTACAGACGGGGTCCCTAACCGCGGCTCTGCGGTTGGGGGCTGGCCTGGAAAAGGGGCCGAGCGCTGAGGTGCACCGCTTCCGCAGACGTCAGCTTCACGCCCCGCCGGCCTGCCGCCTTAGGGTTTCTGGCGGCCGCAATTTCTTCCCAGCAGTCTTCGGTCTTCTTCCCGCTTCTTGGGGTTAGGGTTAGGTGAAAGGCGTTGGGTTTGCTGTGTAAACTCGCGTCCATTCGTGGCTTACATTTCCTCCTTAACGCGACTGGTCTCTTCGTCATCTTTTCCGCCCTTCTGGGGCACTGATTCCTTCAAATAATCTGTAATCCAACCTAAAAGCGAAAATCCAAAAGAGCCATCATTGTGGCAAGATTCAGTTTCTTGAGAAAGGATCTTCAGGGTTTTGATAAGCATTATTTTAACTTCAGCGTTAACACCCCACTTCCATTTGCAGCAGTGGTTTCGGGTTCCTCGCATTCCCGTCCTTAAAGCAGTTCACCTGCGCCTGTGTCCTTGCTTTAAGCTATTTGTTGTGGGAAGCTCACCTGAGGCATATTTAAAGGGTATTCATGTAAATATAGGGAACTTCATTTTGAAGGGAATAGTAACTGGTCTAATCAACTCCTTTCATTTTATGAATATGAAAACTTGAGGCATTGGAAGGAGTAGGAATAGCTTCAAACTTCTGGAGATTCGGAAATGGAAGTCATTTTGGTGACTCAAGGAGAGCGGAAAGTGTGTGTAGCCAACAAATAATACTACTTATTGAACGCTTTATTATCAAGCTAAGTATTCACAGTTGTCCAACAATAGTGTGCGGTATGGTAGATAGTATTATCTCCCTTTTATGGATTAAGAAACAGGATCAGGGACTACTATGAAGCCTAAAAGAATTTCTGGAACACCTAATGATCATACCAGTACTGGGCCAGGTGATTGAATTAGACTTTATGAGGCAGTTAGCAATTGATCTGGGCTTTAAAGGGAAACTTCCAGTGGTTGGAGTTGAAGAGGTGGCAGGATGAGGAAATGTACAGGCCGTAAAGTGTAATGTTTGGTTGCAGGGCGGAAATAAGGGGTGCCTAAGGAAAATTAGGTTAGAAAGTAGATAAAGGCCTGTTATAATAGCTGCAACCTCAGCATGGACCCATTGTGAGGCTTGAACTCACAACTCTGAGATTGATACCTGAACTGAGATTAAGAATCCGAAGCTCAAGCGTCTGAGCCATACAGGTGTGCCTTAGTTCTAGTATTTCTTAGCTGAAAGTGGTATTCAAAGCAGTCTCCTACAAATGAGGAAACGGAGGCCGAGAGGTCAAATGTTTTCAAACATCTATATTCTTGAATTTAGATCCAGTTGGAAATTAAGGAAAAAGAAATCCTACACGCCATCTCCACTTTTTTTTTTTTTTTTTTTTTTTTAAGATTTTATTTATTTGACAGCACAAGCCAGGGGGAGCAGCAGAGGGAGAGGGAGAGGCAGGTTCTGGGAGCCAGACGTGGGGCTCCATCCAGGACCCTGGGATCATGACCCTAGCCAAAGGCAGCCGCTCAACCAACTCAGCCACCCAGGCGCCCCATCCACTTTTTTACTGTCCAGTTACTCTTAACCCACTCAAATCTTGTGGTATGCCCAAGGCTATGCAGCTAATTGCTGGTAGAGTCCAGTCTGGAATAGAATTCTGTAATATACTTGCATGGTTACAGACCATGCCTCTGTTGGAGTATTTCTTGATTAAACAAATACGTGCCTGTTACATGTCCCAGGCATACAATGGTAGAAGAAAGACCACCCACCCACCTCTATGCCCCCATATATATTCTGCCAGATTATGATAAATATTATGAAGAAAATAAGCAGTGTCATGTGGTAGGTGGTAAAGAGTGGACTACCTCAGAGTGGTATGTGAACAGATCTATGAGGAAGTATTTGAATTGGAATCTGAAGGACAAGATGAAGTAGTTATGTGAAGAGGTAGGGAAAAAGTATGCCAGGCAGTCAGAAGTAGCAAATGCTTAAATATTTGCCATGAATGAGGGCCAGAGTGGTGGAGCTCCATAAGGGAAGATGTTGGGAAAGTAGGCAGGAGCTAGATGCTGCAGGGCCTTGAAGGCTCTGATAGGAAAGCACTGGTGGGGCTTCTGAAGAGGGCAGTGGCATATTATAATGTCTTTACTACCCTGACTGTAGTGGTATCATGCACTATGGAGGGGTCCTGAATGCAAGCAGGGAAATAGGTTAAGAGGTGGTGGCAGTAGTCCAGACCAGATATGTTAGTATCTTAGACTGGAATGGTATTAGAAAAGCTGGAAAAGAATATAAAGCTTATTAGGTTGATGTTTTGGAGGAACAATTGAGAAGACCTGCTGTTGCATTGAATAAAGATGGTGAGGTAAAGGGAGGCATTAAGGATTAATTAATGGGTTTTTAACTGACTGGGTGGCTAGTAATGGCCAAATCTAACAGTATGATCTTTGGAAACTTGATTAAAAGCAGGGATGGAAGCAGGATTGAATGGGAAGAAAGAAAGTGGAGTCAGCAAGTTGGAAGTTTTAAATTTTTCTTCTCTGTTTAAATTCCAGAATAAAAATATAATAAAGCTGTGCTCGCTTTGGCGGACATATACTAAAATTGGAATGCTACAGAGAAGATTAGCGTGGCCCCTGTGCAAGGATGACACCCAAAAATATATTAAAGCCAGTTTTGAGTTTTTTAACTTCATTTTTGTTTGGTTCTTGAGTTGAAGCATAGGTTCACATTTTGATATTTCTCTTGCTTTTTATACAGTGGCTTGTGCCCATGCTGGTAGTTGTATCAGATGAGGTTTACATAGCAAAGTCTGTTTTCCCATTGGTTTATGTTAGATTTTTAAAAATATTTTTTATTAAGTTTTTAATTTTAATTCCACTATTGTTGACAGTGTTATTAGTTCCCGGTGTACACTATAGTGATTCCACAGTTCTGTGCGTTACTCAGTGCTCATCAGGGTAAATGTACTCTTTAATCCCTATCACCTATTTCATCCATTCCTCCACCTACCTCCCCTGTGGAAACAATCTGTTCTCTATAGTTAAGTCTGTTTCTTCATGTGTCTGTTTCTTTCTTTCTTTCTTTTTTTTTGGTGTTTGTTTTTCTTAAATTACATATGAGTGAAATCATACGGTATTTGGCTTTCTCTGACTTATTTTGCTTACCATTACACTCTCTAGCTCCATCCATGTCATCCTAAAAAGCAAGATTTCATTCTTTTTTATGGTTGAATAATATTCCATTGTTTATGTATATATCACCGCTTTATCCATTCATCTATTGATGGACACTTGGGTTGCTTCCATAATTTGGCTATTGTAAATAATGCTGCTATAAATATAGGGGCACATGTATCCCTTTGAATTAGCGTTTTTGAATTTTGGGGGTAAATACCTAGTAGCATGATTGGTGGATTCGAGGGTAGTTCTAATTTTTAGGTTTTGGAGGAATCTCTGTACTGTTTTCCACAGGGGCTGTGCCAGTTTGCATTCCCACCAACAGTGTAGGAGGGTTCCTTTTTCTCCACATCCTCTCCAACACTTGTTTCATGTGTTTTTGATGGTAGCCATTTTGACAGGTATGAGGTGATGTCTCATTGTAGTTTTGATTTGCATTTCTCTGATCAGTGATGTTGAGCATCTTTTCACATGTCTGTTGGCCATCTGGATGTCTTCTTTGAAAAAATGTCTGTTCGTGTCTTCTGCCCATTTTTTAATTGGATTATTTGGTTTTTTGGTGTTGAATTGTATGAGTTCATTATATACTTTGGATACTAACCCTTTATCAGATCTATTATTTGCAAATTTCTTCTCCCATTCAGTAGGTTACCTTCATTGGTTTATGTTAGATTTTTAAAGATCTTTATACAAGTTTGATCTTCATTTGGCACAGCTTTTAACTAACTTTGTAGGCTCCATTTTTTCTCAAGCAGCTCTGAACCCAGCATTGAAATGCAGATTACATACTTAGTCTTCTATGTAGTTTTATTGACACTATTCTCCTTTTCATTAATGTAGGGGTAATAAGGGCACTCTTTGTACATTTATCAGCTGTAATTATGTTCATTATTTTCTATTACTATTTGAATGCAGAGAGAAAAAGCTGGAGGGTGTTCACAACACCCAAGAAAAGTGGCTGCAGAAAGAGATTAATATTTGTAAAAAAATACTCGTATGTGGTTTGCTCTGGGATATTCAGATTTAATTTACTAAGCCTCTGACATTTTAAAATAGTCCAGACAGTTCTAATATGCAAACAGTAGAAAAGGAACCACTGTTCCGACCTCTTCCACTTTTATTGACTTATTCTTTAGCTTTGTTTTCTTAACAGTCTAATCCCCCTATTTCCAGAGAAAATTATCCCTACATTTTTAGCCATGAATGGGACCTTTGATGGCATAGTAATGGTTCAGAAATATACAGTATAGCTCATTCTTGCATAATAGACTTAAGCATAGTCTATTCCATATTTGCCAGTTTAGTATCCCTTCTACAAGTATATTTTGAAAATCTAGTCAGACTTAAGTGATTGAAAATTTAAATGATTATATATTTTGAATGAATAACACATGATCCCCTATAGGAACAATTTTAAAAGTGGTGCTTGTTAAAATAGAATTTTCAAAAAGGTAAAATTACTACTCATGCAAATACAAAATGAATGTGTGTTGAAGATTTTCTTCAATTCATTAGTGTAGGAACTAGTAAAACAGTCCAAAAAGCATTTGACAAGCTAGATGCATAGACCATTTCATAGATTGCTTGCTTAGATAAAAGAAAAATGGTTAGTTTACAACAGGACCATACACTGTAATCTTTGGGGTTATCTTTTCCACTGGTCAGAAATTATTTCTGTCTTTATTCTACAAAGTTCTAGACATTAACCTCCTCCTGTACCAAGTTGTAAAAGGGCCTGGTAATGGAAAGTCAAGCCCAGGACTAT